CCTCCATGAGTACATGCATTCTCACATGCACATACATGTGGATATTCACATGAGGAGATGTGGCTCTGATCAAAGAGGAAGCTTCTGGAATGAACCTCCACCCCACCCCCCATGTTGACTATGTAATACAGTTTTCAAAGCCTGAAAAATCCACAATCTTATTTGATTCTTTGGCCCTTAAGGTGTGGATGAAACCTCCCCAAATGACTGATGAAGAAACAGACTCTGAAAGGTGAAAGAAGATAGCTGTCAAGGTCACCTCACCGGTCAGTGGCCAAGGCAGACCTGGAGCTCAGACTCTGGGTCTGCAAGAGACTTCTTCCCCTGTCAGCCTAGTCCCTATGATTCTAGATCTTTCCTCAGCAAGGAGTGTAGGCCTCCCTCCCATCCCTGTGCCTCCTTAATATGATCCTTTACTGTCCTCAAAGGGAGTTAAGGGCGGCTTAGGGACACCAAGAGGTGAGCCAAGAGTGCCCAGCATATAGGTCAAAAGGTAGGTTTTCCCAAGCTCCGGCTGGACATCCTGCTGGAGGTACCCGAGGGGAACAGTTGGTGTTCATGGGCTCTCTGCCATCTCGCCAGTGTGGAGATGGGGGTGACTGTTTTGGCGTAGGAGAAAGAGTCACCTGCCCACCCCCTGGTCTGGGGACACTCATAATAGGATGATTCATCTTTTCTCTCCATTCCCGATTCCAGTCCAGAGCCAGCTCCCGCAATCCTCAAGGCCTGGAAATAGGAGTAGTGTCCAGTAGTACCCCCAAAGTAGGGGCACACCCTGGAAAGGGGAGGTTGAGCTTGAGGAACTCAGTAGGTTTCTGTGCCATGACTACCCGCCTCCCCTGTGCCTCAGTCCTGTGGCTCCCTGGCCACTCTGCCCTCTTCACCTCTCCTCCCTGTGTGACTCCATGTACTTCCCATATAAATGTGGGATGTAAATCCTAGTTCAATACTGGGTGGTCCAGTGAGAGCTTAGCAGATGACTTCTCTCCAAACCTCAGTTTTCTCATCTGTGAAATGGGAAACATAGCACCCATTCCTGGGGGTTGTTGTGTAAAAGTAGGAGGAAGTAGTTTCTAAGATTAAAATGGTCCATATATCTGTTTTTATCCACCCCTTCTGCACCACTCTCCAAGGCTTTGGAAGAGGCTAGTAGGGCTGGGCTGGGGGGGTTTGTCTCTCTACTCCTTCCCACTCCTGCCCCCACTTCTGAGTCACTGACAGCAGGGCCCATGTCTCCTTCTCTGCTGGTTCAGGCTGTTCCCATTCAGGCAAAAAGAGTTTTGGGGGCAGGAAATGAAGGGTGTGCCACCCCCACCCCTTACGAGGCCCCAGCCAGCCCCTCTGGTCCAGCAGGCTGGGACATGAGTCTTCAGCCCTTCCCTCTCCTGGGAACCCACTCCCCCAGCTCTGACCTCAAAAGAGTCATGGCCTCCCACAGGGTGGATAGGTTGTCAGGTCCCTTTCCTGGCTGAGCCCTCTCGCCCAGGTGAGATACACACCTTGCTCAGATGCCCTGGGAGGAGGTGGGGCCTCCTCATCTACCTCCTCTCCTAGTTTAACCTCTTAGGCGGGTTGCACTGGGCGCTGGCTTTTTTCTCCAAAGTGCAAGAGGAAGCCTAGAGGGCTCTGGGTAAGTGTGTGATTCAGAGGGTTGGGGCCTCACCAAGTTCAGTTTCTTCTCTTGAAATCACATGATCTTCTTGCCTTCTGTCCCCCTTTGTGCCACCCATGTAACTGCAATGAGAATGATGCCCTCTGGATTGTACAATGACCTACTTCTTTCCCTTAAACTCTAGCCAGGCTGGCACTTCTGTGCCAGCATCCTCAAATCTTGATCCACTTGGTCCATCCCAGGTAATCCAAGGAGGGCTGACAGGAATAAGAGGCCCACTGAAGCCATTCCATCCTTCTCTTATGGCCATTAAGAAGCACAAAGACCTATACCATTTTAGCTCCAGCCTTTACCGCTCTCAATGTGCATGTGTATGTACATGTATGAACATGTGTACACACAGTAGTTATGTCCATGACTGAGTTATGTGGGAAGTACATGGAGTCACAGTACTGAAGATTGGGCTCTCAAAGGGGTCACAAAGGCTCTCTATGGGTGGCCAGTAGCCCTAGGATTATAACTAAACACAAACAGACATGCACATATGTGTGAGTACATGAAAGTACGCACGTGTGAATATGTGCAAATTATACAAAATATACAAACCATGGTTGTGTGCGCCTGCTAAGCTCTCACTCAGCCACCCAGCAGTATTGAACTGGGATTTACACCCAATGGGGCTGGGGAGGAGAGATGAAGAAGGCAGCACACGTGAACAACTATGTGAGCTGAGTGCAAACACGTGTGAACAGGACAGCCCTGCATGTGCCTGCTGGTCGCAGAAATGCCTCTGTTTTTCTTTCTCCACCTGGTTCCCAGACTCAGCTGCTGGCAGGCTTAGGACAGGGCAGGGTGGGATGGGACACTGTGGGCTGGGATTCGTATTTTCTTTCAGAGTTGAGGAGCCCCTTGCTAGTTTCTACCCGGTGCTGCTCTATTGGAGACCCTGAGGCAGTGAGGATCTGAGGCTGAGAAGAGAGGGCAGCATGGCGGGGGGTGCTCTCTGACTCCCACAGCCTGGAACCAGGCTCTGGAACCTGGAGGCTAGGGTTCTGTCTTGAGTCATAAGCTGGCAGTGGGGCCAGTGGGAAGGTAGTCAGTGATGGTTTCCTGATTCACCGTGGGGCCTCCCAGCCCATGGGGGCCTGGTGGGGTGGGGTGCACCTTTCTGGGCCAAAGGCCATGAGAGGCCTCATGCGTGGGTTCCACATATGTGTGAGCCTATGGCCAGGCTCTCATGTGAATGGGATTGCATGAGCATATGAACAGAGCTGTGTCTACATGCAAGTGTGAGGCTACCTCAGAGTGTGTACATATGTGCATGTGTGTGATTCTATCTTATGTGTGCTTCTTAAATCAGTTGTCAAGTTGACTCAGACTCATGGTGACCCCATGTGTATCAGAGTAGAACTGTACTCCATAGGATTTTCAATGACTGATTTTTCAGTAGTAGATCATAAGCTTTTCTTCCAAAGAACCTCTGCATAGACTGGAACCTTAAACCTTTCATTTAGCAACAAAATGAGTCAACCATTTGCACCCCCAGGCTGCTAAATCCCATAATTTGGGCTTGAACTACGTCTGACAGTCAATCTTCAAGGGCAACTGCCTGGGGTCCTTAGCCTACCTTCTGGAAAATTTAGTTTCTTCTATCTCCCCTGGCAATCCTGTTATAGAGACTTGGGGTGAGGACATACTCTGGTTCCGGTCCTGTGAGAGCAAGGCCCAGGATGCCAGGCCTCCAGTTTCCGATTATTAAATGAGACATGGGGGTTGAGATTGCCCATGACCCCCCTCAGATGGAACTGACACCCCACAATTTAGCCAGCTTAACTTTTTTTAAAAATTATTTTTATTGTGATTTGGGTGAAAGTTTACAGAGCAAATTCATTTTTCATACAGCATTTTATACACATTTTGTTTTATGTCATTGACTGCAATTCCCCACAATCTAACAGCTCTCTTCCCACTTCCCAAGGTTATCTCTTCCCTGTGTCCTTCCCTCCCATGCTTTCCCACCCTACCCCCTAGCTATCTCCCTGTGCAAACACTGCCCTTCTATTCTCCCACAATTGATCAATCGCTCTACTGCTTGCTCCAAGGAGTGTATCTATCTGATGTAAATGTTCACCCCATATTCCTGTCTGTTGTTTGGCTGGAAGCCACAGGAGTTAATTCAGCTCCAGACCTGAAGGGTAACTAGGGGCCATAGTCTCAGGGGTCTCACCAGGCTCTATCAGACCAGTAAACCTGTTTTTTTTTTTTTTAATGAATTCAAGTTTTGTTCCACATTGTTCTCTCCCTCCATCCAGGATCTCCTGCACTGATCCCTTTCTGAGTGGTACCCAATCACCATCCAGTTCTTCTGATTTCATGGTCATATAGGCTGAGAATCACATGGTCTACCAGTCCCTTGGACTGATTGTTTCCATGTGTCTTTAGTTTTCTTCATTCTTCTTTGCTCTGGACAAGGAGAGACCCATTGTTGCATCTAGATCCAGCTTAACCTCTTAAAGAGATTGAATCTCCCCTGGCTTGGGATCAGTCAGAGTGAGAGAGAAGAGAGTTAAAAACATCTGGGACTCACCCTGCTGGCAAGCATGTGGCATGTGGCATGTGAGGACAACTGCAGCTCAGCCTCTGGAGCCATGTGAAAAACACACACAGGTGCATGTGTGACAAGCTCAGTTCACCCAGCCATGTTCAACAGGTGTGTGCCATGAGGGATGTCCAGCAAGCAGGACCAGACACACAGGACATGAGTGTACCATGTGTGAGTTCAGCTGTGGACACAGCTGGCCAGTACAAGGAACACATGACATGTACTCACAGAAGGAGGAGGAGCAAGGGCCAGTGGGTTCTAATTTGAACTCAGAACACAAGCTGGCATTCAACCACAGCTGGGCTATGAAAGGGTCTCTTCTCACTCCTTGGGGCCCACAACCTCCTCTCTCCTAGCTCCTTCCCTCCCCACTGAGGCCATGCTGGGTCCAGCCATCTTCAGAGCCAGATCTTTCATTTCTGACTTGTCTCTCCTACTCCCCTACCCCCATGGCAGGAGTGACCACGCTATCTACAGCTCACTGTGAGTGGGGCCAGGGGCCCCTCTCTTTGGCAGCTTCACTCCAACCACGGTCCTGCACACAGCTGATATACCCGACAGCCCTCTTAGTCCCTGTGACATCTCCTCTCCTCAGTGCCCTCCAGGGCCACCCCAGCCCACAGCACCTCACACTCCCTATCCTCCTTCCAGCTTCCCCCAGCCTCCCAGGCAGGGTGAGGGGCTGGTCAGCCCGCCCCCCAGGCCGCGTAGGGCGAAGCGGGCGGGGCCCACGCTTACTGCGTTCCTTTAAAGGGCACCACCCGTTGCTCTGCGGCCACTGCACGCTGCACCAGCCGCTCTTCCCGCCCAACAGAGCCCCAGCCTGCCCCCAACATGGGTCGACAGAAGGAACTTGTGTCCCGCTGCGGGGAGATGCTTCACATTCGCTACCGGCTGCTGCGCCAGGCACTGGCTGAGTGCCTGGGGACCCTCATCCTCGTGGTGAGTGGAGGGAGCCCTGGAGTCCTCTCTCCAGTCCCATACTACCTCACCCTGCTGTTCGGAAGGGCTATGTTTGGTTCTTCCAGACAGCCCTTACCTCTGTTTCCCAGCTTTGACCCTTAGCTTGACTCCCTACAGAGTGATGACCCCTCAAACTTTCTCCCTCCCGTAGCTCTAACCCCATATATGACAGTTCTGACTCTTGCCAGAATAACAGCTGTTACTCCTCAGTGACAGCCCTGGTTGCACAAGAGGTCACCCTGCAGCCTGGAACCTCCAGCCCCTTCTCCTACCTCTTACAGCCCCCTCAGGGTCCCGAGGTACCAGCCCCAGGAGATAGTAGGGCAGGGGTGAATGGGCCCCTATTAGGTTATTTGGGTTCTGGGTGTCTGGCCACTAATGAATAATTAAGCCTTACAAAGTCCAAAAGTTACAGTGAAGTGAGGACAGTTTGCCCGGTGGGGGCAGACAGCGGAGGACAGGAGGACACCAAATAGCAAAGCAGGAAGGAAGGAGAATGCTGAAGACAGAAGGCTGTTGAATGAAGCTGGGGTCCTGAGTGCAGAGCAAAGGACGAGGTGTTCTAAAGTGGCTTCCCTATTTGTTCCTGCTGTCAGCTTCTGTGCAGAGGTTGCTGGCACCTACCATACTTCCCAGCCTCTCAGTCGCTCCCTGGATTTTCTGAGTCAGATAATTCCCTACCTGAGGGCTACTGCCCAGTCCCAGCTACTCTTGGTTACACCAGTTTCAGGGTTGTTCCTGGGTGACTCTGTTTGCATTTCTTGGGTCTGGCAGACACACCAGCTATGGTCTCCATTTCCTGTCCCAGTTATTTTCTGATTTTCAGTCACTCAGGTGGTTGCAACTGTTTTCTAATATATTACTTCTGGTTCAGTCTCTCTCTCCGTTGCTCCAAGTGGGTGGGTTACTTGGCTGTAGCCTAGCCCCAAGCCTGGGGCAATACAGACTAGCCAGCTCCCTGTGGGCTAACAGGCAAATATCTGCCCCATGTGACAGAGTAGAACCACTCCATAGAGTAATCTTTATGGGAGAAGATTGCCAAGTCTTTCTTCTGTGGAGCTGCTGGGTGGATTCAAACCACCAGCCTTTCAGTTAGTAGCTAAGTGCTTAACCACAGTACCACCAGGGCTTTTAGGGCTGAAGGTAGCCCATCCTGCCAGTGGCAGTGGTGGGGCAGGCTCTGCAGGGAGAAGAGGGCTGAGACTCACCTCTGGCTGTGGAAAGCAGGAAGGAAGGCAAGCCAGGCGGGGTATTTAGTCCACAACCCCTCACAAGACCAATGGCTCTATCAGTCGTCCTCACCCCTCCTCCTTCCCCTGTGCCAGGATGGGAGTAGGGGGAGGCATTTGCCACCGTCCTACCTCAGGTCTGTGTGCCCTATTGCCCCCCTGAGTCGGGGTTTATGGCTGTTTTAGAGCAGACAGGACAGGGTAGGTGTCTTCCATATTCTAGATGGGCCTCCCTATGGTCTACCATGTCTCAGCTCACCTCCCTCCACAGAGGGGCAACCAGTCTTAGGCTGTACCCTAGGATTACTTAGTTTATCCCAGACCACAAAAGGAGGGTGTCACGTTTTTGGAGAAAGCTTTCAGGCTTAGGTAGGTGTGAGGCATCAGGTGTCAGTGAAAAGCAAAAGCTTAAGGGCTTCCTGAAGAAGAGGGGCCGGGCCTGGAAGACCCCACCTAGAGCAGTGGGTGAGCTTCTGCCAGCATACCTCTGTGGGTGGTTTCCCATAGCCTGTAGTGGCAAAATCAGGGCTGGTGTCGAGGTGAGAGAAGCCCCTTTTTCGGAGGTACCTGGTGGGGGCGGGTAGCTGGCCAAGAAGACTGGGGAGAGGAAGAGGAAGATTAGCCCCAAGGTGGTGGAACTGGCTCTGATAGCTCCTCCCTCCAAGGACTCCTGGGATGGAGCCAGGTCTGGGCCCCAGGCAATCAAAGAGTTGAGTTTAGGGACTGCCAAGCCAGGCAGGATGCCCCAGATCCCCTCACGCCTGCCTACCCCTCCATACACCCACAATCTCTGATCTTTGTTCTCACCTGCCTGCACACCTTTGTCCTGCATTATTGCTGCTGGTATCCCCACTATCTCTTTTTGAGGGATGATAATCAAAATGCTTAACAAGCTAGGACATTGACCCTTTGGAATGAACTAGGGCCCTTAGCACTGGAGCAGGGCCCTGGAAATTGTTTAAAACCTTTAGTTATGGGGAGTTGGGAAAGGAGACCTGGGGCAGGGACTAGAGTACTTTGTGGAACACTCAGGGGGCTTGGGCAATAGTTCTTTACCAAATAGTACAGAAAAATTTTTATATTTGAACAAAGGCATAGCCATACAGCATATTCTGTATGTGTAGGACACCAAGGGTATGCCTTAACCACCTTACCCCTGTCAAAGTTCTGAACCAGTCTCCTCTCTGGACTCAGGGTTAGTGAGAGCAGCCACTCAGATCCCTGTCTTTGGGACCAACCAAATCTGAGTGAGGACCCTGGACTACTAAAGACAGAGAGGTCAGGGTGGGTGGAGAGAGGAAACTCACCTTGACAGACACAGGTCAAGGAGGACCCGTTGTGAGGGTGTTGAGGAGGGGCTATGGTGAGGACTGGGGCAGGGGCTCTGACGGCCCAGATTCAGAGGAAGTGGCTTCAACCTCACTTCTGAGGCAACTACAGCTGGGGCATTCAAAGTGAAAGCCTCCCCAGCTCACTGGGCCAGGACTGAAGAGCTGGGGGAGAAGCTGTGCTGAGGTGAAACCTGTTCTCCCATACTCTACTCCTGCTGGGATTCAAGTCCATCAATGAAGATTTTCCAAGCAGGCTCTGGAACTCAGGTTTCTGGGGTCCTGGAGGCAGGCTTTGCTTCCAGTCCATGTTGTTGTGTTGTTGTTATGTGCCCCTATTATATTAGAGTTGGGACATTGCGGGTGGCAGGGTATGTCTCCTCCTTCTGTTGTTGTTATTGTTATGTGCCATCGAGTTGGACCCGACTTATAGTGACCCCTCCTTGGGTTTCTGAGGCAGTATCACTACGGAAGTACATTGCCCAACCTTCCTTCCGATGAGTGGATTTGAACCACTAGCCTTCTGGTTAGCAGTCAAGTACCTTAGGCACTACACTACCAGAGCTCCCCTCCTCCTTCTAAGAGGTGCAATTGCAGCAGGAGGGGTTTGGATTGGGTCCTAGAAAAGACCTCTAGCCCTCCTAATGGTAGAAAGCAGAGATTGCAGGTTTTACCCTTGCTGTCTGGAGTGAGAACCGCTGGGCCTCACTCTCTCTACCTTGCTCTGTTTCTTGCCACAGATGTTTGGCTGTGGCTCCGTGGCACAGGTTGTGCTCAGCCGGGGCACCCATGGAGGCTTCCTCACCATCAACCTGGCCTTCGGCTTCGCTGTCACTCTGGGGATTCTCATTGCTGGCCAGGTTTCTGGTAAGGAGGAATTAACCCTACCCACAGTCCTTGCCCCTTAACAGCACTTTCACTAGGAGTCCTACTGGTGAATAGGATGAAGGAGGCATTCCCAAGGGCAGGACATAGCCACGGTCTAAGCTTTGGGCCCTTGGGAGAGGAGGGTGGAGAAGGGGAACCTGACACATAGAACCTTCGACTCTCACCTTGGTATCAGAGATTATTAGAGTTAGTCGGTTACATAGTCCAACCTGCCATCCTATACATCCTTTGGCCTGGATGGTGCCAAAGAGGAGAAAGATGTCAGAGGCCCTGGCCTCCCCACTATGGCAGGCTGTGGCTAATAGGTCTCATCTATCCTGTGCCCAGGGGCCCACCTGAACCCTGCTGTGACCTTTGCCATGTGCTTCCTGGCGCGTGAGCCCTGGATCAAGTTGCCCATCTACGCCCTGGCTCAGACATTGGGAGCTTTCCTGGGTGCTGGGATAGTTTTTGGGCTGTATTATGGTAAGCATCCCCTACCCTGCCCTTGTCCACTACCCTCTCCACTACCCTCTCCCCTCTGGCTCTGGGCCTGCTGGCACCCGGCCTTTTACTGACAGACAGCCAGGGCCTGCCCAAGCCTCAGGCTCATGACTCACTCATTCAACCACAGGCCCAAGGTGGGGGGCCCCAGGAGAGAGAAACGAGTTGGGCAACAAGATAGTTTTGGGTCCTTTACCCCACCCGACCTCACTCCCTCTAGCTCTACAGTAATACAACAATGACTAAACTCACTCCTGACCCCTGGAAGGAGAGGGGAGGACCCAGGGTGAAAGAGGAGGCTGGGTTCAGGCTTCTGCACTCATCCACTCTGAGCCTATTCTCTTACCAGATGCAATCTGGGCCTTTGCCAACAATGAGCTTATAGTCTCAGGCCCCAACGGCACAGCTGGCATCTTTGCCACCTACCCTTCTGGACACTTGGACATGGTCAATGGCTTCTTTGACCAGGTATTGGCTGAAGACATGTGAAGGGAACAGAGGGAGGAGGCTCAAGCTGCTATGGGTTCTTTGTGGGGTGGCTGGGGGATAAGACTCTTCCTCTACAGTGGGGTTCCTCAATATGTGGGGGTACCTGCATCAGAATCATGGTGGCAGTTACTTATAAAAAAGAGGCAGAATCCTAGGAATCTGCATATTTATCCAGCTCCCAGGGGATTCTTATGCACTCAAAAATTCTAGCACAGTGCTGTAGAGAGCAGAGGATGAAGATGGTGAGACATTGCGAGCCAGAGGACAGAAGGAGGGACCAGAGGGTGGAGTGGAAGCTGCTCCTCACCCGTGTTCTCCCACTCTCTAGTTCATCGGCACAGCCTCCCTTATCGTGTGTGTGCTGGCCATTGTTGACCCTTACAACAACCCTGTCCCCCGTGGTCTGGAGGCCTTCACCGTGGGCCTGGTGGTTCTGGTCATCGGCACCTCCATGGGCTTCAACTCTGGCTATGCTGTCAACCCTGCTCGAGACTTCGGCCCCCGCCTTTTCACCGCCATTGCTGGCTGGGGCTCTGATGTCTTCACGTGAGTGCAACCCCCACCCCAGCTTACCCCAGCCTGCCTCCCCTCTGCCCTGTCCCGTTTGCCCCTGAACATGTCTCTGTCTGCCCCCTAGGACTGGCAAACACTGGTGGTGGGTGCCTATTGTGTCCCCACTCCTGGGCTCCATTGCTGGTGTCTTCGTGTATCAGCTCATGATAGGCTGCCACCTGGAGCAGCCCCCACCTTCAACCGAGCAGGAGAATGTGAAGCTGGCCCACATGAAGCACAAGGAGCAGATCTGAGTGGGCAGAGGCTGTACCCCACTGCTCCCTCCCTTGAGCATTCACTGACTGTGCAGGGGCTATTCCCTTGAAGCCCCCTCATGACCAGCCTAAGAAGCTCCCTGCTTACTCCCTCCTTATTGGACAGCCTTTAAGGATTTTCCACTGGACTCTGCCCAAATGGGACTTCAGGCCACTGTTCTTAAGCTGTGGTGTGACAAGGGCAAGGCCAACATAGCTCTCTGTCTCCCAAAGGGAGAGAATGGGCAGCAGGTGTGTGTGTGTGTATGTGTGTGCATTCTCCAAATGTTCGGGGAAAGGAACCAAGTGAAAAGGATTCTAGTAGTGGGGGAAGCCCAGAGAAAGGGGATGGTGACATGTACATGTGTGAGTAAGGAAAGTGACAAGGGTGTGCACGCTTCAGGGGCTCCATATGGAGGAGGGTCCTGATAGATGTATTTTGGAGTATGTGTGTGTCTGTCCTTTTTTTCTAAGGGGGGCTTCTATAGGCTTTTGGGGTGGTGGGGTGGGAATATGGGTAGCATTGAGGGAAGGGGATCACACCCTGGGTTTGGAGTTCAGGTAGGAGCCATGTAATATGTTTCTGGCATAACCTAGGTCTGAGCAGGTGGGGGTGAAGTCCAGGTCATAAGTTTCATGTTTGCTCTTTTGAGAAATGGCAGATGTTACATACAGTTTTAGAGGTAGGGATTGAGAGACTTCTCTCCAAATAGGTTCCTCACTCCTTTATCCTCCATAACATATGCACTCTTCTGTCTTTTGTAAGAAAATAATAAAACGTATACACCAAACTGCCACTTGTGCAATGTCTCTGCTTTCTCTGCTGCTTCTCTGGGGCCAGAAAAGGAGCTTCAGTGCATCTGGCCACAAATACCCAGGGTGTGCTACTGGGTGTCATTAACCTAGGCAGGGTACCCCAGGTGTGGACAACAGTGCTCCAGCCCTGCCCTGTCAATCACACAGGGAGATCAGAGAGACTGTTTACCAAGTGTCTCATTTGAACTCAGGGGACCCAAACTTTTCCCCAAGCTTCCATCCTCCTGAAATGCTGCCAGGCTAGCACTGACATCTTCCTGATCCCCACATCCGTGCATCACTTCAGGAAGGCAGGCTTGAGCTGTCCAAACGGGAGAGCTGGTGCCCAAGAAGTAGTGAGTTCCCTGTCACTAGGGGAGACCAAACACCAGGGATCTGTACTGTTCTCTGCAAGCTGTGGCTACTCAGGCTCTATCACCTCAATGCAGACCTTGGTCACACCCCTCCTTAGCAGCCAGCCTGCCCTGGTCAGTCCATACAGCAACCAAAGGATCTTTCTGAAACCCCTTCTGAAAGTGGAACTATTTCTATGGCCCTTCTGGCCCTCAGGAGATAGTCCAGAAACCCTTCTATCCGGCATTCAGGCTCTCCAGGACTAGGGCCCTGTCATTAGGGACACTACTTCTCCATAATGTTCTATCTATCCCAGACTGTCCCACATGCTTCTATGCTGTTTCTTACCTTCAGGACTTTGTTCCTCCTGATCTGCTCTAATGCCCTCACCTCTAGGAAATTAACCCTGCTCTCCCCCACCCTTCCACCACTGACTACCTCAGGACTGTTCATCCCTGACTCTCCCTCTGCCCTATTTCTTCAGCCTAGGGCACCTCCAGTAAAGCAGGGCTTGGAACCTAGCCCTCTAACCATGCAGAGAAGCTGGGCACACCTGAGCCCAGCAAGCTCTGCAGGATCACGTGTCTCCCTTCTCACCTTCTCCTTCCTTACCAGATTCTCCTCTTTACCAGATCCTCCTTGAGTTTCACTGGGAAAAAAAGAGAAAGTGGCCCCTACCCAGGCGCTCCTGCAGCGTTTAACCTCATGGGAACCAGGGGATCCCTGAGTCTGGTTTTAAAGACTAAACCAGCTCTTGTTCCCCAGCCACTTCACAGATGAGACCGTGGCCCAGAGAGGGTGGGTGGTAAATCCAGGGTCACACAACCAGAGCTCTACCTGGGGAACTGAGAGTGCAGGAAGCAGTTCCACCTCAGGTTCCCACCTCCTTCCTGTCCCCAGCTCCCAAGAGGTGTGTCTGGAATGCTGGAGGGACCTGAGCCAGAGGGTGTCCCCTTCCTAGGCCCTGGGGGAGGAAGGGCAAACCTTGGGAGGGGAATGTGCCTGTAGCGTTTCATTCCAGCCATCAAGTCCTACCTTCGGGTCCCTACCTTGCTGTTGTCCTGTCCTCCCCAGCACACCCCAGGCTCTTCTGTCCTCCTCCTCTCTCAAATCCTGTCATTGTTGCTGACTGGTTAGCTTAGAGGGTGGCAGGAGGCTGCAGGTCTAGTGGTTAACGAGACCAGGCTCCACTACTCTCTAGCTGTGTGACCTTGGAGTGGTCATTCTCTTTCCCTGAACCTCAGTTTCCTCATCTGTGAATTGTGGATAATAAGAAGATGAAATGATGGAAGATAGTTCATGAAAAAAACTTAACACAGTGGCCAGCAGATGGCAAATAATAAATGTTACCTCATGATTTTTCCTACAGAACCAGAGGAGGTGGGAAAGGAGGTGGGAGATGTTGAAGGCTGTTTTTTAAAGGTCATTGAATTCAACATTCTCTTCCGCCTCAGATTCCTTCCATGGCTTCTGAGTTTCCTGACAGAGGGGGGAGGGAAGTGGGGGTGATGATTGATGTGCCCTGACTTTAGTTTGCTTTTGAGGGGGAATAGAAAGGAGAGAAGATGGGGTCACATGTAGGTATATGGGGCAGAAGAGCATGCAGCAAGGAGAGCATGGTGGGTGGAAGGTCAGACCACATGATAAGGGGTAAGGCCAGGAACAGTGGGTCAGAGCAGGGCTTAGTTGGGACAGGAACTGTCTAGCAGCTGTGTGACTCTTCCAGGAGCTCCCCACCTCCCTACCCCACTGGCTGTCAGAAAATTCTAAAGAAATCCGATCTCCTTTAGGAAATTATCTTCTCTCCCATTTCACTTAATCCATTTTCTAGGCTGGACATGGAGGGAAGATCATCACCTGGGAGGGCAGCTAAGGAGCTCTGGTGGTGTAGTGTCTAAAGTATTTGACTGCTAGCTAGATAGAAGGTTGGCGGTTCAAACCCACCAGCCATTCCACGGAAGGAAGACTGGCAATTACTTCTGTAAAGATTTACCACTTTGGATACCCAAAGGAAGTCTCTATGCCTTGATGGCAATGAGTTGGTTTTGGTTTTTGGGAGGGCAGCTAGAAAATCCAGGCCTCATCTCTGTCCCTTCTTCCTAAGCCAAGCCTTCCCTACAGTCTGCCGAGGAATAATTCAAGTTCCCTTAAAGTTCTGACTCTTTTGGATAGAAATAAGCCTCCCTGAAACTTGGACTTGGTTCCTGTTTATTTGTGTGCCTACCTCTCTGTGTGTATGCACACATAAAACCAAACCAAAACTCACCGCCACCGAGTCAGCTTCGACTCATAGCGACCCCTCCTTGGGTTTCTGAGGCGATATCACTATGGAAGTAGATTGCCCAACCTTCTTTCTAAGGAGTGGCTAGTGGGTTTGAACTGCCAGCCTTCTGGTTAGCAGTCAAATGCCTTAGACACTATGCCACCAGAGCTTTCTATGCACGCATGTGTGCATTTCTGTCTCCTGGTGTTCTTGTCTTTCTCTCAATATGTGTGGGTATGTCTCTGTGGGTCTGTGTTTCTGGGCCACCATGTCTGTCTTTTTCTATGTTTCTATCATAGCCTGACTCTGTGTCTGTTCTGTGTACCTTTTAGTGACCATCCCTGTGTATCTCTTTGTGTAGCTCTGAGCACATTTCTGTGTACCTGGAGCATATCTCTGCATGTACTTGGAGCATGTCTCTGTCTGTGCTCAAAGGACATCTCATGAGTACTCAGAGCACGTGTATGTGTGTACTCAGAGCATGTACCTCTGAGTGGCTCCTGCCAGCCCAGTCCTGCTCGATTTTACCCCAGAGCAAGCCTCCTCCTTAATTTCTGATATGAACTCCCTCCTTCTTGCTCACTCACTCTTTCCCCTTGATTTTGTTTTTCTGAAAACCTGGGTGGGGTTCCCCCAGGCTTGGAGAAACATGGCTGAGGTAGAGCTGGGTGGGGTGGGAAGGGGAGAAGAAAGACTGCTCCACACAGTGTGGAGCTCCCAGAGAGCAGAGACAGCTTCCACCCTGGCAGGAAGGGTCTGTGAGGGTGCTGGCCTAAGCAGAGCCCTGAACTCCTGTGTTGGGTAGAGGGAGCCTTTTCTGGGCCAGGATCCCTGAGGTGGGGCCGGGAAATGCTGGGAGTATATAAGGAGGGAAAACTGAGGCGCTAGGACTCTCAAAGGAATTGGAGGGAGGCTTACCAGGAGAGTACCTCTGACTCTTGAGGAGTGGGTGTGTCTGCCCAGCTGCTGGGCTGGCCTCCTTGGGGACTCACCATCTCCATGCCTGGGGCACCAGGTTTATTTGGTTAAAGGAGAGAGTGGCAGTGGGAACAAAGAGGTTCTGTGTAGTCTGGGCACTTGGTTATACTAGAGAGGGCCCTGTTTCCTCTTTGTGAAAAGGGGAGACTGAGGCCCAGTGTCTCACCTAGGTCACAGAGAAGTGCAGCAGAGCCCAGACTAGGACTCAGTCCTCCATCCCCATTCTGGCTCCTCTCAATTCCTTCCCTAGATAGCACTTTATGATATGTCAGGGAGTCAGACTCTGGGTCCAGATGGCCTGGGTTCCAAATCAGCCTTTCCCAGCCATGGGAACTTGGGCAGGTGCTTTAACCTTCTCCATTTGCCCTACCCCAGCCCAGATCCCATCTTTGTTCTGCTCTGTTTTCCAAGAGCCTAATGTCTATGGGCTGTATCACCTACCTGGGCCCTCTTGCTATCTGGTTTCCAGTTGAATTTGACAAGAGGAGACACAGGTAAGAAACCAGAGGACAGGGAGAGTGGAGACAGGGAGGTTAGGGTATTTATGCCTTTTCCAGAGCTCCAGCTTTCAGTGAGGGCCAGTGACCCTAATCTATCCTCTTGCTTTTTCTGGCCATGGGGGTAATTGCTGTTTGCTATTGCAAGTCCTTGAGCCATCACCATCCCTTGCTGGTAACCTTGACCCTGCCTCTACCTTTGTAAATAGATACTTCATAAGCTGTCTTAGTTAAGCCCTCCAAGAATGCCATTTGTTTCTTGCTGTATCCTTGACTGGTTTCACCTCCAGTGCTTTAGTTTCTTCATCCGTAAAATGGGGATACAAATAGTACTTACCTCATAAAGTTGTATAATATGAAGACTAAAAGAGTGTGTATCAGAACAATGCCT